CCCCCATGCCACTTCCCTCCCCCCTTCACTCACCACTACAGACTTACCACCTGGAGGCAGCTGTGTCCAGTGTCTTCGAGGACTGCTGCCTGTTTAGTCTATGGCCAATCTCCGAATCTTTTCCAAATCAATTCAAAAGCTTCCGATTCAATTCGGAGCTTTTAACTGGTCTCCTGCTTCAACTTGGATTTGGAAATTTGGCTGCTGAATCGGGCCGAATCTCCTCCAGATTGAATTGGCTACTGAAGCTTTGCACAGCCCTAGTAAATAGTAGGGGACCTGGGCTACAGTTTGAGGAAGAGTGCAGCTTGCTTGTGCAATAAAGCTACACAGTAAGATGGGAAGAGCATGATATATAAGAGCACAGCCCAACACTAAGTTTGTATTTTTTCAAGGAGACAATTGTGGTAGGGTAACAGCTGCTGCTCCTCCACTTGCAAAGCCTGATCTTTGTGGTTAGGTGACTCAAGACCTTAGGGTTAGGGTGACTGTATTATTTTTTTCAGGAAATCCAGGACACTGCCCAGCTCTGTGCCCCTCCCCCTCAGTCAGTGGCGCTGCTGCAGGCAGAGGCAGATCAGCAGGGTACGGGGTGCAGTATTTGTGGGGAAGCAGAGCGGCATGGCATGCCAAGCAGGCAGGTAGGTAGGCACTGCTGCTTGCAGTGGGAGCAAAGGAACAGGACAGGAGCAGGGGCCACCTTGCCCACATGTACCCAGCCTAGCTTCTCCTGAGCAGTGGTTGGAAACGGGGTAGGCTGGGAAAGGATCCCTTTACAACTAAATTTTTTTTTAACAAATTCACTAGTAAGTAGGCAACCGTCGATCTTCTGGATCTTGATGTACACATACAAAGGTCTAGTCAGATGCCTGATGAATCCTTTTGTGGCTGATAAGCCCAGTTCAAGAACAATACAGTTTGTAATAAGTTTCACAGATTCATATGTTGTTGAAGTTGGGAGTCCACGCTTACCACATGCTGCTTTCCTTTCTCGTATTGCTTCCATCCTCTGATCATAGTCACTTCATGTTGAGCTGAACCTGGTGCCAGATGTTGCCTCTAGATTGGACAGGATTCTGCCTACTCCTCCCAGCTTTCTATGCTGATGTTGAATGTCTTCATATAACTTTTGCATGCATTGTGGTACCACCACAGAGGGCAACCCAGCATTCTAAAGTGGTCTGAAATTTCACTATACAAAATATTCTTGGGGATATAGCCTCCTCCCATTCTCCTGATGTGGCTCATCTATCACAACCTTTTCTTCCTGATAGTGGTTTCTAATTGTCAGTCCTGCATGCTCCAGTTCCTCTGGGCTTAGTAGTCTGTCTTCCCACTTTGTTTTCAGGATCTTATGCAGACATCTCATGTAGAAGCTTGTTCAGTCTCTTGCTATGCCTAGCATATATAGTCCATGTTTCTGAACCATAAAGCAGGGATGGCAGCACACAGGTCTCGTAGATTTGTATCTTCAGTTTTACTGATGGGTTCATAGAAACAGGGACTGGAAGGGGCCTGTAAGATCATCAAGTTCGGTCCCCTGCCATGGGCAAGAGGTAATAGGGCTGAAATGAGTTTGAGGTGCTTGTCCAGCCTCCTCTTGAACACCACCATGGATGGTGACTGCACCACCTCTGCTGGAAGTATGTCCCAGATTCTAGTTATCCATATGGAAAAGAAGTTTTTCCTCATGTCTAGCCTAAACTTTTCCTTGACTGGCTTGTGCCCACTGGTCCTCATCCTCCCAGGGGATGCTTTTCTGAAAAGCTGCTTTCCCAGATCCTGGTGTTCTCCCTTGACATATTTGTAGGCGTCTATCAAGTCACCCTTCAGCCTTCTTTTACTCGGACTGAACAAACCCAGATCCCAAAGTCTCTCCTCATACGGCCTATCTCCCAGGCCCTTGATCACGTGGGTGGCCCTTCTTTTCACCCTTTCGAGCTTGTCCACATCCTGAAGTGAAGTGCCCAGAACTAGACACGGTACTCCAGCTGTGGCCTCATGCATGCCGAATAGAGGGGGAGAAACACCTCTTTGGATCTACTGGTGGCATGCAACAGCAGATGTGTCTAAGTTTTGTTTGCTGTGTTGGCAACTTCATCACACTGATGGATCATATTCATCCTATGGTCAGCTGTCACCCCCATGTCCCTTTTGGATGCAGTGCCAGCCAGTGGACCCCCTCCAATCATATAGATATGGTTAGGGTTATTCCTACTCAGATGAAGGATGCAGCACTTGTCTCTGTTGAGCCTCATCTGATTAATTTTAGCCCAGAGGAGCAGCCTGTCCAGGTTGTCCTGGATCTTTGTCCTGTCCTTGGATGTTCCCACTTGTCCCCACAGCTTGATATCACCTGCAAACTTAATCGCTGCGCCTTTTCACTCCCTCATCCAGGTCATTGATAAAGTTGTTAAAGAGTACAGGCCCAAGTACTGATCCCTGGGGGACACCACTAGAGACGGCCCTCCAGGATGAGGCCACCCTATCAATTACCACTCCCTGGGATCAGCTGCTGAGCCAGTTGCCAACCCATCTCATTAGCCTGGTCTAGGCCAGTACTCTCTGACTTAATTTGAGAGGATTTAATGGGGAACAGTATCAAAGGCCTTGCTGAAGTCTAGGTAGATGACGTCCACCTCCTGTCCCGTGTTCAGCTGGTTAGTTACTTGATCATACAAGGACACCAGGTTTGTTAGGCATGACCTCCCCTTGACAAAGCCATGCTGGTTGTTTCTCAGTACCCCACCAGTTTGCGGTTATTCCACGAACACTTCTGTAATAGCCTTCAATTCTTATTTTATCCTTATTTTAAAATCCTTACCTGTTTATCTCCATCTAAAATGATGCTATTCTGCACTTCTCTTTCCTCTATAAATCACTGCAACAAAGCAGAGGTTTAGATAAATTCAGCTGGGAGCAAAACATAAACAACCAGCTTGCTAAGGAAATGTTTGTTTGAATACTAGCTTATGCAGCAGTTTAGGTCATAAAATTTAAGAGGAAGGCTATTTAATTGAAACTACAGGAGAAGTTTAGGCAAAATAGTCTATACTGTATTCCCATTTGTAACGAAGTGCTACTTATCACTGGCATACTGTGACTCAATAAATAATGGAACATGACCATACAGTTTCAAAAAGTACCTTACAATCCTTCATTACCACGAGTAGTTAGGATTTCACCTCCCAGCACTGTGCTGGGACAGTATCAGATTCAAAGGGGAAAATGTTGCTATATTAAACATTATCACTCTTTTTGTATTGCACTGTTTTTCTTGGAGGTTTTAACCCAATACAGGCAAGGCCTGACTGATTTGCTTTTAAGAACAAGTGAGACCACAGCTTTCAGCACTACAGTTGCTGACCAAAATACAGGTAAGATTTGTGTAAAATACAGAGATGTGAATTTCATTCATTTAAGGATAAATAAATACAGATAGATATTCAGGGAGAAATATCATGTGCAGAAGACCAGTGTACAAGGGCTGTGCACTCCTTAATTGTACTTGCATCTTGTTTTGGGCCGAAGAATATATGAAACTGTGGTATGTTATAAAGAATTTATCTGCATGAGTTTGAAAGGACATCATGTGATAGGTGGTGAAGCTATACATGAGTTAGAGACAATCCTCAGCTGTATGCCAATGAAATGTTTCCTCTGCACCACTCTGTTATATGTTCTATATGTGCCACCTATGTTAGAAAAAAAATACTTTAGGGATTTTTTCCTGAGTTTCAAAAAACTTTAAGTAGAATAATTTTTAGAGTCTTGTGCTGGTAAAAACCATCTGCCAAGAGTTCAACTGTGCAAAGCTTAAGTGAACAAGGTTCTTTGGGTAAATCTGATATCTTTTATTGGACCAACTCAAATAGTTGGAAAAATTCTTCTTTGCAAGCTTTCAGGTACAAATACCCTTCATCAGGCTGAGGAAGCGTCTGCAGTTGGTCTGTGCTTTTCCTGGATGGAATGAATAGTAAAGAAGCCAGAGGCAGGTATGCATGCAAGAAAGCCAGTCAGTGAAGCTGTAAGATCCAGGAATGCTGATGGTTCTGTTGTAGGTTGCAGTGATTGGTGGGGTGGAGGGGGTGGTGGAGATGTATTATCACTAACACATCATGATAATATATGTTATCATGTTAACATATCTCCACCACACCCACAACAGAACCATCAGCATTCCTGGATCTCACAACTGCACCTCCAGAAATGTAATACATCTTATCCAATGCACCAAATGCCCTGATGGAAAATATGTAGGAGAGACTAAACAACTGTGCACCAGAATGAACACACACTGAAAATATAGCAAAGATGAGAATACCCTATTACCTATGGGGGCATATTTCTCACAAGAAAACCACTCTCTCTTCAATCTCTCAGTTCTAATCCTCAAAGGGAATTTACAAAACACCTTTCACAGATGAGCCTATGAACTTCACTTCATCAGCCTACTGGATACAAAAAATCATGGACTAAATATAGACATTGGATTTATGGCACATTATTACCTGCCTAACATCTGACTCCCCAGGTACCTCTCTCCTATTTACCAGCTATGTTCATTTCCCCTTCCACCCCCAGCCTGTCTCTCACCCACGGACTCCTCAATTTACATCTTCATTGACTGGCTTTCTTGCATGCATACCAGCCTCTGGCTTCCTTACTATTCATTCCATCTAGGAAAAGCACAGACCAACTGCAGATGTTTCCTCAGCCTGATGAAGGATATTTGTACCCAAAAGCCTGCAAAAAAGAATTTTTCCAACTATTTGAGTTGGTCTAAAGACAGATATCAGATTGACCCAAAGAACCTTGTCTGCCTATGCCCTTAGACCAACACAGCTAAAACGTACACCCCTGAAGCTTAAATGAAGTCATCTGCATTAACAACAAACACTTTTTTCCCCACAAAAATACTAAAACCTGAAAATGTAATATCTCTGGCCCTTCCAGAGCTAGAAAACAGGTCCTGATCCTAACTAGAAAGAAAAGCCTCCCTAATGGTATACAACTCTTGCTTCTACCCCAGCAAGACAATTAGCTTACTTTACAGTTTGTAACACTTTTAAATCGGGAAAAACGGTCAATGTCTAGAGCTGAATTTTGCTGGGCTGTAGGATGGTATAATTTGGGGGGTGATGGCAAATTGTGTATCTGAAGGGATAAGAAACATTTTGGGATTTATACTTTTTTTTTTTTTAATTTGCCAGTTGTTTGAAACTGCTCAGAGTTTTAGAAATCTAGACTAAATGATTGGAATTACAGATTTATTGTTTCCAATTTTTGGATCATTTAGTCTGATCTCTTGTCTAATAGAGAGAATAGGACTCTGCCACATCATTCCTGCATCAAATACATAATTTCTGATGAAATGCAAGTCTATATTTCAGAAAGACATTCAATCTTGATTTAAACATGTCAAGTGACAGAAAACACCATGTCCTTATGTAAGTTGTTTCAATGGTTAACTATTATCGCACTTAAATTTGTCCCATTGGGCAGAGGGCACATGATTTGATCATAGGCATAAATTGTGAATTCATTGCATGCTTGTTCGGTTATTGTATATCTTCAATTTATTGCGTGGATAACATTAAACATCCCCTGTGCTTAAGTAACTTGCCATCAGAAGCCAGTGTCATGTAGAACAAAAGTGTCAAACTTGATCACCCCTGTGAGCCAGATTCAGAACTGACAGCAGCAGTGTGGGGGTTAATACAGTCATCACTTGTCCCTCTGCTGCCAGTATGCATGCCTATCAGGCTCCATTGCTAGGAATTCAGTGAGCAGGCCTTGCCCTTGCTCACCCCACTCCTAAATTCCCAGCCCCATTGGCTAGATTTTTGGTACCTATGATGTAGAAGAATCTTCTAGTATTGTGGAGCTGGCTGATTCCTTTGACTACCCCTTTCCCTGCAGATGTGGTAAAGTTTGTGGCAAGGGAAAAGGAATATATAGGTAGGCCTTCCCTGACTCTTAACCCCTGGCTGCCATAACAGCCTCTAGCTCAAAGGGCAGGGATTAGATTTTATGCTAACTTTTACACCGGGAGACTGATTTGACATAGACCAATTCCTGAATGATGGGAATACAAATATGATTAAATCTATCTTTGTACACTACCTCAAATTATGCCATATTCAGCTTTGGCAAAATATCCAAGCTCCAAGCAAGCATCTTGGCAAGACATTATTATTTTATTGGGTGTAAATATTTTTTCTATGGTAGAACTGAGAGAACGTCTTTATCTGAAAATAACGTCTCAAGTTATTTTGAAGGTGAAGTACTTTTCATTTTAAGAGAAACAAATTTCCTATTACCATCATTTTCATTAGAGGTTAAATTGTGGTAGTATTGTCTTACCCATTCCAACAGAACTTCCAGAGCATGTCACTGGAACGAAACACACAATAACCATGTGAATGTTCAGCATCTAATATTACAATAGAAATACAACCAAAATAGTGCACAATACTACATTATCTCATTGGATTTCTTTTTCCATTTATAAATGGTTTGAATTTCAATTTTTTTCAAGAGGAATTCTTTTTGTTCAATGCTCCCAGCTTTCGTTTTAAAAATACTTTTTGTTTGAAGAATGTCCACTTTGAGCCTTTGTATTAGTGCAGACAGACTCTATCTTGAGATCATCTTCGATAAGCCCAAATCACAAACTGTTCCCCCCCCCCCGTAGTCTATACCAAAGCTGTCCAATAAGTTGTGCTTCTTATTTCTCCAGTGCAGCACCAACATATCTTCTGCTAGCTGGTTTGTGTAATGATTGTCTCTGCTTAAGGGCAATGGATCGTAAAGGGGAAGATGCAGAAGAATGGGAAGACAAGAAAAGGGAATTGTGGGATTGTTGGATACCATTATTGCCCAGTCTATATGCTGTCACTCCAGAAGGATTTCCTGTGCTTTAAGTCTGCAGAGTGAGGAAAGTCCCAAAGACAACAGAAAAGGGTAGGCTAAGAAGCAAGCAGCAGCATGTTCCACCTCACATGGAGAAGTTAGCAGAACTTCCAGGTTAGGGGTTGAATACCACTAGAAGCAGGTGTTTAGGTATGTGCTTGAGAATGGCCTTAAATTTTTCACCCCATGAGCATTCACATAGCCTCAATTTGCTTACAGGGATAGGTCATAAAAGGGCTGCTTTTGTAAATAAAACAATATTTTAATAATTAAAAAGTGTGTGTTTTTAAAAAACCTTAAGAAAAAGAATTCCAATGATCTTGAAAACAGGGCAAGGAAAAAAACATGCCCTTGACTTCCCAGAATGCTCCTTAGCAAGCCTGATCACAAACTGGTTGCGGGATGGCCTCTTTGAGGACCCAGTATTAGAACACAAAACTTTTGCTACATGATATCTCTGCCTTCTCCTTTTTCTGACACAACCCTGTCCTATATAAATATCCTGTAAATTATATTGACATACTTTTAACAAAGTATACAGAGTTCAAAGAACAATAAACTAAGTATTACCTGAGTATATCTTTTTAGGACAGAATGGAGGCTTTGTTCCTTTATCAGTAATTGGAGATACCATCACAGTATAGATATCCCCACAAGGTATCTCAGTGACATCACAAAATCTCAAACCAGACTTAGGGGTACAGGTGAAATTGCCTTTTGATCCATATAGATGTGTAGTATAGTTTATCAGTCCTGCAGAAGTCCTCCAGTATATTCGGATACCATTATTGCCTAATCTATATAATTTCACTCCAAAAGGACAGCAAGCACCTAATAAGGAAAATAAACACAACATGTCTATAAATAGTTTAGCACTTTTGTGAAAGAAATTGTAAATTTTTCTTAATAGGTTTTTATCAGATGAAGTGAAAACTTCCCAGTACCTATATTTAGACTACAAAGATTTACAAAGACAGAGCAATTGTACCAAGTGGGGAATAAGGGAATAAAAATGACCCACCAAAATCCCAAGCAGACTGGGGCTGGAATGCAGCCTTGTTTACAATTGTGAATTGGAAGTCTGGTCAGGATTGCTCCACAACCAGTGTAACAAGGAAAATAACAAGCTCTACATCCAGCATAACAAGTTTACTGGATGCTGGATTGCTGCAGAACCTGCGATCCCTCTCCCATCTCCAGACTTTTGCTTGGCTTCTGCTGTTTGGATCTAGCATATAGCCCTAATCCACAGTGTAGAAAGGGAATCTCAGTTCCTGTGTACAGATGATCTACCCATAACCCTGAAGCTAGACCAAGGGATTTAAGTGTCTAAATTTCACTGACATTACATCTATGTAAAATAGGGAATTGTAAATGTATTAACTATTGGTTTACTTTCCGTTACAACCTTAATATGAAACTAAGACTTTTTAGTACACTGTATCTTTCTTTTATTTTCTGTTGCATTTTTTGTTTACATACTGGAAGAATAGCCTTGATACGTGCAGTCTGATGTCAACCCAGTTTCGCTAATTGCTTTCAGCGACACTGTATAGTTGGTGCCACATGTGATGCATCCCAGGAGACACTGGTTTTGGAGGGTGTGGCACCTGGCCCATCCTTTTGGTGATTCCAGTACTGTTACATATGTCTGTGCACCAGTCCCAGCAGACCAGCTGATATTTGTTACTGATTGCGTCAGTTGAGTTAATGTCAGATCATTAGGGCAACAAGGAGCTTCAGAGAAAACAAACAAAGAAAATTCAATCCTTTTCTGCTAAGATCATATGCAGTCCCTTTTGTCAACATCTTTGGTTTAGATGTACTTAGTTTAAATAATGTTAAATTAAAAAAACTCAATTTTTTAAACATTTTTATTGCCCTTTAGGCCTGGTCCAGGCTTTGTTAAAGTCACTAGGAGACTTTCTGCTGATTCAATGGAAGTTGGATAAGAACATTAGGAAGAAGTACAATGTTAGGAGCAGTCCTTTAAAAATAAATAAGGGGAGAAGGGTGAAAGGAATATATATGTTTAGGCAAATATTACTAAAGTGGTTAGATATTAATCTTCATTCAGCACGCTAAAGTAGATCAGATATAATATACTGATAAGACCAGACAAAGACGAGACATTTTTTCCTTAGTGAGATAAAGATATTATCCTTGGATTACTATGTGAAGATTTTTATGAGCGAGTTCTGCTCAGTGGAACAAAGTGAGTACAACCAGTCATTGAAATCCCAGCGTCTCTCTTAGCCCTATATTAAAGATCTAATTGCTAATGAGAAAGCCATGCACTGCATAAAAATGGTGTGCTATGAAACCCTGTGGCCCATGAAATATAAATGCTTATCATTAGGGTTTCTCAGTATCATGTAGCCGCTATAGAGTAACATGACTACTGTCTCACATCCATACATTTGGGCAGATGTCATATCATTGCATATTAAATAATAATGCACATATATACACTGTGAAAAAAACAGATGGACAGAAAACTATGCACATCTATCAGAATTATATACATGGTAATGATTATATTTTCAGTTACATTTCATACTGATTGCCACATACCGGTTTCGAAAGGGATGCTGTAGCTAGGTAAGCTTTGTCCTACTGTTGTACTTGCCACGACACTAACAAAGAAGACCGATCCACAGGGGAGATTTGTTATGGAGCAGGAATTCCCAGAACTTGTGCAATGCCACAATCCAGCATCTCCTCTGGCAGTTACAATATATGTAGCTTCATCATTATTAGACCGCCAGTACACGCTAATTATGGAAAGTGCATCCTTTGAGATATTTGTTATTTCAGGACTGCATGGGGCTGAAAGATTTCAAATTGAGCAGGTTTAAGTTGTGAATTTATCAATATAGAACTCTTCTTATTATATATGGTGGTCAACAACTGTGAATTATTGTAGCTATTTGACAAAGGCAATTTAATTTAGTAACTTTCTATTCAAATAGTTTGGAAGAGTTTACAAGCACATACATCTAAAATAAATATTACAGACACAACTCTTGATTAATTGGCCAGCTAAATTCCACAAAATACACAGTGCGATCGTGAATCTGATTTTAAAAGTGCAGGGCTTCAGCAGTTTTCAATGCAACCACTTAATTAGGTGCCTGATTGTGGATTTAGGAGTCTACATACACCTTTAAAAAAAACAACAACAAAAAACCCCCATTCTACTAGGTTTGCTTTTCTTTGTCAACTAGACATTATAACAACCTTACTTAGCAATTGGTTCATAAAATTGCTAACTATTTATTTCTTATGTAAATCTTAATTGTTCATAGGGTGCTATTGAACGCTTGGTCTTTTTGCCTGGGTTTCATTCTGAGGCAGCAAAATTATTCAAACGTATATGATGAGATGGACAAATATCTATTCCCAGTTAAAGCAACATCACCTCAGTAAATTACTGGTTGTGATATAAACCTTTGAAACAAAAAGAAAAAAGAGAAATGTTGTTAAAACCATGAACCATTAGTCCTCATTTGGTGATGTTGCTTTTACTGGGAAAGGATGTTTGTTTATCTCATAATTCTGAATCGCCATCATCACTGGTATCTGTGGTAGCCAACTAGTTTTTTCTTGTATAAAGAAAAGAAAGAAAAATGGTCAAAGTACCTGTTAACACACATTTAGATGCACAGGATGTGTTGCTTCCCCTGATTTCACTGAAAGAATAAACAGTGATGTTATATTGGGTGTTACACTGCAGTGAAGACAGAGTGCAAACTGTAGCAGTGTCGTTACAAAGTACCACACCAGTCCAATCAACAGCTTTTGTTTCATACATTTCAGCACCACGGACAGGAGACCAAAAAATCTCAATTGTATCGCTGGACACAAACACTGGATGAATGTCACTAGGGCAACACGGTGCTAAAAACAAAGAAAGAACATCAACACTACTCATAAACTGAAAAATGCTAAATATTAAACTGAACAGTGTCCTGTGTACAGAAACACATCTGATCTGAAAATTTCAATCACTGATCTTGGAGTAGCTGTTCTTAAAAAAAAACAAAAACCCCCGAAACTAAAAGGAACATGAAACTGCAGAACAAGAAATGATCCACAAACTGCATTATATTAACATTGGTCTCAACAGAAACTCTGAATTCTTATCTCATTACTTGGGCTAGTTGTTTGCTCCAGTGTTTCTCATGGTTTTAACTGCCATGTTTCTCTTAATCCCCCAATTACTTCTCTTAGCAGCATTCCCCTTCCCTTTCCTACCTATATAAAATATTTTTTCCCCCTTCCAGTCCATTTGCAGCATCTGATGAAGTAGACTGTTGCCTATGAAAGGTCATGATTTTCTGTACCAGTATCAAAAGGTGCCATCCTGCACTAATTTATGCCCTCATTATCAAAAATTGCCGTATGTCACCCACACTGAAGAATTTTTCATGCATCCAAAGCTAAATCTATTTGAATCAATTCCATGTCCCTTATTTGAACACAGAAAATTCTATTTTACATCCTCTTGTGGGCAAAGAATATTCTTTCATCTATTTGGAGTCTTGATTGCAGTAATAATTTACTAATCTGAAAATAACTCTTTATACTCATATTGTGCCTTCCATTTTAGGATCTGAAACATTTAGTAATTGCCAAGTTAAGCCTCAAAAGATCTCAATGATCTATGCATTTTCTCATTTTACATATGGGGAGAACAGAAATTTATGGAAGTTTGGGAACTTACAGCAAGGCTATGGCACATCCTGAACTAGAATTCACGTTTCTTGACTCTCAGTATTGTGAATTACCCATAAGAGTATATTCCCTTCACTTATCAAAATATCTTAGAATGCTCACACCTTTTAGAATTTATAAATTTGTGTTGTCACATTTGACTAACACATTGGCTACTCAAGTTAACCTTGATTGTGGTTTAAAATTGAACCCTCTAGTATATTTGCTAAATGCACCTTATCTTGTTGGTGGTCAAATCGCCAAACATTTTCCTTCACTTTTTTCAGCAGAAAATTGTCTTTCAATTACACAGTTTGTTGTAAATAGTGTCTGCTTTCCATAGAGAACTATAAAGTCATTGTTGAAAACAGAAACACCCAAAAAAACTGAAGTGTTTGATTTGGGGAATGCTGCTGCAATGTCTCATGCCCCCATTCTGCTAAATAGTCCAGGTTCCCTAGGCAGCCTACATTTTCCATGATGTACCATGGTGGCTCAGAAAGGAGACTGTGCTGCATCACAGGAGCCCAGTTTTCCAGATGAAAATAGCAGCTGTACCGAATATTAACTTCCATGAGGTACTGCAGAAGCCTCTAAAACTGAAATGTTCTGGCATTAATGTAACATCCTCTGCCATTTTTTAAAAATGTTTGATCGGGTCAGCTTTTCAAAAAAAGAATTCAATCTAGAGATCACCAAATGCGAATGAGTAAATAAATTGCTACTTACCAGTAGTATAATTGAGTACTTCACCTGAGGGACTCTGCCCTGCTTTGTTGTATGCAAAAACACTAATGAAATACATGAAACCGCAGTCTGACTGGAAGTGGCACTGGGTATGGGATGTGTTGCAATGTACCTCCAAGCCATCATCACTTTTCACAAAAACCACATAATATTCACCAAGATCTACGTTAGACCAGGACACTGACAGGTTACCAGGATCATCCTCTTCAATTGTTATACTTCCTGGTGCACAAGGGACTGGAAAACCAGATTTAAAACAAAAATGGGGGGTGGGGGAGGGGGATTATTAATGTATTTGAAGAATTTATTTAAATAAACACTTTTACTATGCAAAAAAACAAGGGTATTTAGAGTTTGGCATGTTGGATAGTTGAAACACGCCCAAGTGAGAAAAGAACAACTTATCTGGATTTTTAAAAAGGTGCAGCAATAACATGTGGTTACATTAAAATGTTACTTTCAGAAGGTAAATGCATATTGAGTACAGAATGCATCATTTATATATTTTAAACAGAACAAAGTACATGCTACTGCAGTCACATGCATAAGAAAGATCTTGTATGGTTTAAAGTCCACATATAAATAATAGCACTGTTCAAGTGCACAGCTGTTCGAGGACTCCTGGTGCTCGGGCCAAGTCCCTGAGGACTGGAAAGGGCCAACGTGGTCCCTATTTTCAAGAAGGGGAGGAAGGAAGACCCTGGCAACTGCAGGCCAGTCAGCCTCACTTCTATCCGGGGGAAGGTCTTTGAAAAAATTATCAAGGGCCACATTTGTGAGAGCCCTGAAGGGGAAGTGATGTTGAGGGGTAACCAGCATGGGTTTGTGCAAGGCCGATCCTGCCTGACTAACCTGGTCTCTTTCTATGACCAGGTAACAAAGAGCTTAGACGGGAAGGACGAAGTTGATGTCATCTTCTTGGACTTCCAGAAGGCCTTTGACACAGTGTCCCATGCAATTCTGGTGAGCAAGCTGAGGGACTGTAGCACTGATGAATGCACAGTCACATGGGTGGACAACTGGCTCCAGGGGTGCACCCAGAGGGTGGTGGTGGATGGGTCAATGTCGACCTGGGAGGGTGTGGGCAGCGGAGTCCCCCAGGGCTTGGTCCTTGGGCCGGTGCTTTTCAACATCTTCATTAGAGACCTAGACGAGGGTGTGGAGAGCACCCTGTTCAAGTTCACTGATGACACCAAGCTGTGTGGTAAAGTGAATACACCGGCAGGCAGGGACCGCATCCAGGCAGACCTGGATAGG